CAGTGAAAGGGCTGTAGTGGGTATCCATTCCAGCTTTGATCTGGAAGTTCCAACCCCCATTGAGGCTTCAGTAACTATCACGCCTACAAGGCGGGGCCAAGAGAGGACCCTGAAGACCCAAGATCTGGATGGACCAGCTCTCTCTGTTCCTGGACCCTGGACAGTGGAGGTTGACTGAGCAGAGCTCCAGAGAACACCGCTGGACTGCGATACACCTTCCCCAGACCCTGCGACCTACCTATCACTTCATTTGTAAGTTACACCACTAATAAACTTTCCTTTTAACTACGTGGAATGGCCTTAATAATTTCACCAATAAATAGCTTAGCAGATAATAGGCTTGCTCACCCACCTGAGTTCAATCCCCTGTCCATGGAGAACTAGCTCCCACAAATTGTCCTCTGACATCCACACACTAGGTGTGGACGGACATATAGAGTAACATGAATATTTTACTGGATTCTGAGGGTGGAATGTGTGTCTGACTCAGACCCTAAACTCTTAATCACTTTGCATTTCTATTTGCTATATTGACATCTATTGTTGTTAATACTGACCGAGTCTCAAAATGTAATCTGGGTTAGCCTTGTACTTCTTTTTTTTTTTTAATTAAGAGATTTTTCTATTCATTTTAAATACCAACCATAGATTCCCCTGTCCTCCTCCCTCCCGCCCCCTAGCCTTCCTCCTCATAAGACCCCCAATTTCCACCTTCTCCAAAGCAAGGTCTCCCATGGGGAGTCAGCAGAGTCTGGTACATTCAGTTGAGTAGCCTTGTACTTCTATGCCTCCTGCTTCATGCTCTCTCTCTTTTGAGACAGGGTCTCACTATGTAGCTCTGGCTAACCTGAAACTGATTACAAAGACCAGGGTGGTTGAGAACTCATAGAGATCCAACTGACTCTGCCTCTGGTGTGCTGGGGGTTAAAGGCATGCAGCACTATGCTCAGCTTGCTTGGTGTGTTATCATGAGATTAACATGCATCCATCACCAAGCTGGCTGTATTTGTATCTTGAACCATGTTTTTCTCATTGTGACTTTGACCCAGTCTGTACTCTGTTGATAAAGAAACTGCCCCCATCCCTAACACTATGGAGTAAGAATGGTGCAGAGATCACACGCCTATTATGTTCAGAATGATGCGGTCACTCCTCTTGTTAACGAATCCCTTGGTTACCTCACACTGATAGTCCCCTGAATCCTCACTCCTGGCAGGGTCTATTTGGAGGGTGCTGTGGTTCAGGGATAGCCTCATCCTATTTGTGATTCTCAGATGCTGAGTGTTGAAGAGCCAATGGATGGAGATCCCAGTGTCATTTGACAAGCAGATCAGGGATATAGACATCAGGTCTTTGACTGTGGTGTTAGTGACTTGGATGGAGGGTGGAGTCACTGGATCTGTGGATAAACAGTGGAGGGGAACAGCTGAGAGTCCTTCACCCTCAGAGATCTCATCCAGCTCACAGGGCCCATAGAATGAAGTGGCCCTCTGCAAGATCACATGTTTGGGTTCAAGATATGTTCTGTAAGGAGAGATCTGAATCTTACTCCTACCAAGATCACCCACAGTGACCCTAACTCAGGGTATTTGTGTAGATTCCACACTGCGTGCCTCTTCACACCACATGTCCAGAAATCTCATGGTTGGGGGTATATATTTCCCAATGATTTTTGTGGAAATTCTTGCTCACACTTTCTGTGAGCGTGAACAGTCAGGTCCCTCTTTTATGAAATAGCCCAATTGAATCACCAATGAGTCAAGGAAGAAATAAAGAAAGAAATTAAAGATTTCCTAGAATTCAATGAAAACGAATGTACAACATACCGAAACTTATGGGACACTATGAAAGCAGTGCTAAGAGGAAAATTCATAGCTCTAAATTCCCACATAAAGAATAAATCTCACACTAGTGACTTAACAGCAAAACTGAAAGCCCTAGAACAAGAAGCAAACTCACCCAGGAGAAACACACGCCAGGAAATAATCAAATTGAAAGCTGAAATCAAAGAATCAATGAAACAAAGAGTTGGTTCTTTGAGAAAATCACAAGATAGACAAGCCCTTATCCAGACTAACCAAAAAGCAGAGAGAGAAAGAGCATCCAAATTAACAAAATCAGAAATGAAAAGGGAGACATAACAACAGACAACAAGGAAATCCAGAGAATCATCAGGTCATACTTCAAAAACCTATACTCCACAAAATTGGAAAATCTTAAAGAAATGGTTGATTTTCTGGATAGGTACCACATACCAAAGTTAAATAAGACCAGATAAACTATTTAAATAGACCAATAGCCCCTACGAAAATAGAAACAGTCATTAAAAGTCTCCCAACCAAAAAAAGCCAAGGACCAGATGGTTTCAGTGCAGAATTCTACCAGACTTTCAAAGAAGAGCTAATACCAATACTCTTCAAATTGTTCCACACTATAGAAACAGAAGGAATATTGCCAAACTCTTCTTATGAGGCTACAGTCGCCCTGATACCCAAACCACACAAAGATGCAACAAAGAAAGGAATTACAGACCAATCTCCCTCATGAACATTGATACAAAAATATTCAATAAAATAAATGAATCCAGGAACACATCAAAAAAAGTATCCACAATTACCAAGTAGGCTTAGTCCCAGGGATGCAAGGATGGTTCAACATATGAAAATCAGTCAATGTAATACACTATATAAACAAACTGAAAGAAAAAACACATGATCATCTCATTGCATGTTGAAAAAGCCTTTGACAAAATCCAGCACCCCTTCACGATAAAGGTTCTAGAGAGATCAGGAATACAAGGAACATACCTAAACTTAATAAAGGCAATTTACAGCAAGACAACAGCCAACATCAAGTTAAATGGAGAGAAACTCAAAGCGATTCCACTAAAATCATGAATAAGACAAGGCTGTCCACTCTCCCCATACTTATTCAACATAGTACTTGAAGTTCTAGCTAGAGTAATAAAACAACAAAAGGAGATCAAGGAGATACAAATTAGAAAGGAAGAAGTCAAACTTTCACTATTTGCAGATGATATGATAGTATACATTAATGACCCCAAAAATTCTACCAGGAAACACCTACAACTGATAAACTCCTTCAGTAAGGTGGCAGGATACAATATTAACTAAAAAAAAATCAGTAGCTCTCCTATATCGAAATGATAAATGTGCTGAGAAAGAAATCTGAGAAACATCACACTTTACAATAGCCACAAATGATATAAAGTACCATTGGGGTAACTCTAATCAAGTGAAAGACCTGTATGATAATAACCTTAAGTCTCTGAAGAAAGAAATCAAAGAAGAGATCAGAAAATGGAAAGATCTCCCATGTTCATGGATAGGAAGAATTAATATAGTAAAAATTGCAATCTTACCAAAAACAATCTACAGATTCAATGCAATTTCCATCAAAATCCCAACACAATTCTTCACAGATCTGGAAAGAACAATACTCAATTTTATATTGAAAAACAAAAAAACCTAGGATAGCTAAAAGAATCCTGTACGATAAAACAGCCTCTGGAGGCATCATGATCCCTGACCTCCAGCTCTACTATAGAGCTATAGTAATAAAAACAACTTGGTACCGTCATAAAAACTGACACATGGAGCAATGAAATCAAATTGAAGACCCTGAAATTAATCCACGCACCTATGAACATATGACTTTTGACAAAGAAGCCAAAACTATACAATGGAAAAAAGCAACTTCAACAAATGGTGCTGGCATAACTGGATGTCAACATGCAGAAGATTGCAAATAGATCCATGCACAAAACTCAAGTCCAAGTGGATCAAAGACCTCAACATAAATCCAGTTACAGTGAACTTGATGGAAGAGAAAGTAGGAAGTAGTCTTGAACTCATTGGCACAGGAGATCACTTCCTAAATATAACACCAGTAGCACAGACTCTGAGAGCAACAATTAATAAATGGGACCTCCTGAAACTGAGAAGCTTTTGTAGAGCAAAAGACACAGTCCAGAAGACAAAATGACAGGCTACAGAATGGGAAAAGATCTTCACCAACCCCACATCTGACAGAGGGCTGATATCCCAAATATATAAAGAATTCAAAGAGTTAGACATCAAAATACTGAACAATCCAATTAAGAATGGGCTATAGAGCTAAACAGAATTCTCAACAGAAGAAGCTCAAATGGCTAAAAGACATTTAAGGAATTGCTCAACATCCTTAGTCATCAGGGAAATGCAAATCAAAATGACTCTGAGATACCGTCTAACACCTGTCAGAATGGCTTAGATCAAAAACACTGAAGACAGCTTATATTGGAGAGGATGTGGAGCAAGGGGAACACTCCTCCACTGTTGGTGGGAACGCAAACTTGTACAGCCACTCTGGAAATCAGTATGGCGGTTTCTCAGAAAATTGTGAATCAATCTTCCTCAAGACCCAGCTATACCACTCTTGGGCAAATACCCAAGGAATGCTCAATCTTACCACAAGAACACATGCTCAACTATGTTCATAGCAGCATTATTCATAATAACAAGAACCTGGAAACAGCCTAGATGCCCCTCAACTGAAGAATGAATAAAGAAAATGTAGCACATATACACGATGGAGTAAAAAACAATGATATCATAAAATTTGCAGGCAAATGAATGGAACTTGTAAATATCATCCTAAGTGATATTTTCACCCGGACTCAGAAGGACAAACATAGTATGTACTCACTCATAAGTAGATACTAGATGAAAGGCAAAGGATAACCAGACTACAACCCACAACTCCAGAGAAGCTAGCTAACAAGGAGGGACCCTAGGAGAGACACACAGATAGCCCAGCAAAGAAGAAATAGATGGAATCTACTGTCAGTCTGACCGACAAGTAGGGTAGCGGCAGGAATGGTCCAGCCGGTCTCTCCCTGGGGCTGAGCAGGATGATGAGTGTCAACAGCCCAGACCCCCCATTCACCAGAGAGAAACAGACTGGACTGGGAGTCTTGTCAAAACAGAAACTCTCGCTTTATTGCATCAGGAGTGAATAGGTTGGGGTCACAGGGGGGATGGGGTGAGAATAGTGGGCCAATGAGATGATGCCATTCCAGCAGTTACTAGGCAGAGACGATTCTAGGTTGAGTATTGCTGAGTCACTCTTGTGTGGAAGTCATGTCCCAGGGCAGGTCGCCAAACTTGAGCTAGGCCCAGGAAGTTACACTGGGCCTCACACCTGGGCCTTATGGGACCCACCACCTCCCCCTTTTGTTTTTGTAAGACTTGGCCCCTGTCTTAGGTCATCCCCCAATTGGAGATCTTACCTGTCATTGAGTACCATGTACAGTAAATTGGGGGGGGGGGAGTTGCTCCATGACCTTCTTAGGTCGTCTCAGCCCGCCTGAGAGCTTGCCAATCATTGGTCAAGTGAAGAGCAGAAGAAGGGCGCTCATAGGAGGATACCCAGCCATGGGAGGTACCAGATTTCTGAGTGGTCAATCTTTGTTGGCATACCTCAACCTGATTTATCTTAATTGCCTCTAACCTCTGGTGGATAAATTGTGTGAACCTATTGAACACACAAGGCCCAATGGTGAGAAGGGGAATGTGGAGAAGAAAGGGTTCAAGAAGGGGAAGTAGGTAAAGTAAGAACCCATGAAGGCCTGTCCACCAGAGTGGCCAAAACAGGGTTCAGATCCCCACTGGGTGCCTTCCAAGGCAGAACCAAAAGTACCCCAATGGCCAATGCCATTTTTGGTGGCAATCCAGTAGGTCTTATTATCAGTCTTTTTAATGCATTCATGCACCATGGTGTAGCAGGTGGCATGCATGGATCAGTAAAAGGAGGTGCAGGGGCAGGGCCCAGGTTTGCTATTTACCATGGGTATGATTTTAGGCTTTAGCACACATACCCACTTGTTGGACCCAGAAACCTGGGACCCAGAGGTATCAATGAAATTATGGGCAATTTTAGCACCACAGTCTGACTGACTGATGGGAGACGCGCTTATGTATGAAATTTCAAATGTTCCCCCATTGCAGTCACAGGGACTCCCCATCATCTTGTTTAGGATGGCTCTGGCATCATGTGGGTTACCAAATCCTCCATCATTGGGCTGGGCAATTAACACAGCATCAGGACAAGCAGCAGCATCTGCATCTTTAGTCGTTTCTGAGGAAGAAGCAAAAAGATTATCCTCCGGGGTGGAACACTCCCTAGAGCCATCATTATCATTGTCCCCTTTTGGTGGTAAATATTTGAGGTCTCTGGCCAGTACCCAGATGGGTCTCTTTTCATTTTGAGGAAAGACACATCTAAACCCTCTTCCTACTGTGAGGAGTGGGTCTGGCCCTCTCCAGGCCCCAGTTAAGGGGTCCCTCTGCTTGACCCAGATGGTACTGTAGGTAACAGATGAGGACCAATGTTTTTGAAAAGGAGACAAATATTTATCTTCCTCAGAAAAAATTAAAATATTTAAGGTTAATAATGCCTTTCTTAGTTGATCATGTGGGGGTAGAGACTCCAACTTTTGTTTCTGCAATTGGGACTTAAGTGTTTGGTTGAATCTTTCCACGATGGCCTGACTCCTAGGATTATAGGGGATGCCAGTAGAATGAGAAATTTTCCAGGTGTGTAGGAAATGTATAAAGGCTTTGCCAGTAAAGTATGGGCCATTATCTGTTTTGATTTGGCTAGGTAAACCAAGGGTGGCAAAGCATTGAAGCGTATGGCTAATAGCACGTTTGGATTTTTCCCCGGCATGGGCTGATGCCCAACAGGCACAGGAGAAAGTATCTACAGAAAGAAAAACATATTTAAGTTTTCCAAATGGAGAATAATGTGTGACATCAATCTGCCAGAGATGATTGGGGCAAAACCTTCAGGGATTACTCCCTATCTTTTGGAGGGGAGGGATCTGAAGAAAGGACTGACAAGACTTACAGGTCTGGACAATTTTTTTGAGATCTTTAACCTGTGCGTGAGGAAACTCATGTTTTAGGCCTCTCCAGTTAACATGGGTAAGTAGGTGGAAATCTGTGGCCTCAGTAACAGTATTACATTGAGGCATAGAAGCCAGATGGTCAGCCAGCTGATTTCCTTTGGAAAGAAATGCCAACAAATTTTGGTGGCCTCTAATGTGTTGCAAATAAATGGGATTGAGTCTCTGTTTAAGTAAGGAGCAAGCCTGAATCATAAGAAGAGAAATGGGGTTGGAATCTAATTTAGTATGGGCTTCAACCAGGTTGGGCAAAAGATTTACAACATAAAGGCTATCAGAGAATAGATTAAATGACTCTGGTATAAAATCTAGCATCATAACAACAGCAAACAGTTCCTTAAACTGTGCAGAACTGTAGCTAGAGTTTTCCGGCCTTGCCCACCGTCAGGACAAATCTCTGTCACCCGCCAGTCCCACAGCCGCTCAGACCCAACCAAGTAAACACAGAGACTTATATT